ACACATGCATACACGTGTACATATAAATCTTTTGATAGACTTGACTTATAGAATACAATTCTCGTCATAGTCTACTTCATTTTACATATACACTCATACATACACATGCACACAAACACAAACACGCACACAAACACGCAAACACATGCATACACGTGTACATATAAATCTTTTGATAGACTTGACTTATAGAATACAATTCTCGTCATAGCCTACTTCATTTTACATATACACATATACACTCATACATACACATGCACACAAACACAAACACGCACACAAACACGTAAACACATGCATGCACGTGTACATATAAATGTTTTGATAGACATGACTTATAGAATACAATTCTCGTTATAGTCTACTTCATTTTACATATACACATATACACTCATATATACACATGCACACAAACACAAACACGCACACAAACACGTAAACACATGCATGCACGTGTACATATAAATGTTTTGATAGACATGACTTATAGAATACAATTCTCGTTATAGTCTACTTCATTTTACATATACACATATACACTCATACATACACATGCACACAAACACAAACACGCACACAGACACGCAAACACATGCATACACGTGTACATATGAATCTTTTGATAGAGTTGACCGTCATATTCTACTTCATCTTAAGATCAACCAATTTTACAATACGATTCTCAAAACATTATTGATTTCTTGGTATTTCGATAGGATTATCACGTTTCTGTTTTTGACTTTCTAGTGCACATGTATCCTATCATGTGACGTACATCTATGCAAACTGATGACCAAGGTAGACAATACGTGAATATACTTAAACACATTACCAGTATGTCAACTGCATTGTTTCGAAACTGGAACAGTTTACTTTTCGAATAGTTCCACTGCAATAACCTATATATTTATATATATATATATATATATATGTTTTACAACATTAATGGTTGGATGGTTTTAAGGCCATGGTAAATGTTCGGTGAGGTGAAATTGGGTTTAACGTCGTGCTTGAGAATATTTCGCTCATATGACGACGTGCATGCGTGTGTATGGGTATGTGCGGCTGCTTGTACTAGCCCAGATTTAAGCTGGTTTTATAGTGCTAGCCCACGGAGATACCATGCCGCAGTGAAGCACGAATACCCCACTTAGACACATTACACTGACTCCGAGCCGACCAGTCCTTGCTGTCCCCATTAATGCCGGGCGCCAGGCAGGGACCAACAAGTACCATATTTTAACGTCTTTTGGTATGACGCGGTCGGGGATCGAACCCGCGACCTTCCGCTCTCCGAGCGAACGCTCTAACCACTACACACGCATGCGGTCCATCAGAGTACTTGCTGTTTTATTGTGACTGTCGAGAACAATAGGGAAACTTTAGCCTAGAGACATTTTGAAATCAAAATCCGTGTGTGGCTTCCTGGTATTTGTTCATGAATTTATCAGTAGCACAAAAAAGATCAGGCAACTGCTTGTTTTGAGTGACGTAGCTGACATGAAATACCTAGAGAAGCCATGTCTTTGACGTGTATAATTTACACGCACACAGACAGCAGATGCTTCATGTTGTTGTTTAATATCACATCCTCCCAAGCAAATGTCAAACACATCGAATTACGTTTTCCTTGGGAGACAGGACATGAATTATTTACCTCCCGTGCACACCACGCCCGAATGGAATAACAACTTTTTCTTGCGGTATAAAACATAAAACGCCAGTATCTTCTGTCATAGTTAGGCAGTTGATAGAATCTACATTTTATGTTGGTATCACGAAGGTCACTTCTTGTTACACGATCAATATACTACCTACAGTATTACAGCGTCGGTGTTGGATCTTGTTGCCATACATTTCGTGTTTCTTGGATCCTTCCCGCACTGTGTTTTCCTTTCTATTCTTTAGCACGTATAAGAAATGAATTTTACACTCATATTTCACTTTTCGTCCGACGTTTTGTACATACCATGCTTCTCATAGTGTGCGAAAGACTACCAGGGATGCCAAGACATTATCCAGTTGCTTGATACTTCCAGCCACATGGGGCGTAACCACAAGGGATAATAATCATTATACATTGGAATCAAGTTTAGCAGAAGAAACGTAATTTGTGAACACCACCATAACTACGGTTAAATTCCTCCTTCTGTCACGTAATTACGGCCTTAGAAATACTAATGATAAAACAATGGCTATATTATGCACAAAGATTCTGGAATTTAACCCCATATGCATTTCTATCCACCTAAAGAACAGATTCATGTGCAGGGCAATCACATTCTTAAACATATGAAGATACAGTGGAACTGGATTTTTATAAATGTTATATTTAGAAAAGGCCTGCATGAGTGTCCAAACAGCCCATGCGAAAACTCATTTTTAACCTTTTTTGAATGTCTGTTTCATATAACCAAATTGGAACCAAATTGATAAACTCATTAATCTTAATTGTGAATGCAACTGAATGCTTTTTACCTAATCATGCCAACAAAAACATTTTCTTCGATTGTAGATGCATGATTGAGAATTGTCAGTGTAAATATTGTGTCGTTGTTGCTTTCTGTTATTAAAGTAATAATTGTAAATAAATTGAAGTATATAATCCATGCCATGTACATTTTGTACATCTATGGGACAGGGCGACCCAAGTTGTAATAAATACTGCCCAAATGCCCTTGGATGGGTGACCGTGTTGGCAGCTTAACTCCTGAGAGTTTCTAGGACTTCAGCCCTGCCCCACAACAAAGCACATGTGATACATGTGGTCTCACCGTAGGCAAGTGAGTTTGTTCACAATTACCTCTGTTCACCCAGCAGGAAGTGGGTACCCGGTGAAATAAGTCGTGAGACTACTAACCTTCTAGCGCCTAACAGGCAGCATGGGTTATCCGGGGTAATAATGATCAGATTGAGCGCTTTGAGCAGGGTATCTAGCCTGGAAAAGGCGCGTTATAAATATTCTCATTATTATTATTATCTTTATTAAACATTTAAAGAAAATGTAACATGTTTACTTTTAGGGCTGGGTAAAACGTTTCAACGCCAGTCAGCTCCTGAAAAACAGGAATATGAATATACATGAGGCTCCTGGAGGGCGTTTGTCCCAGTGTTCTAAGGAAACCACAATGTTGACCCATTGAAACGCAACGCTATGAATAGTTCGCACACTGTACTTATGGTCCATGAAATCTGATTTTTTCGCGCCGTCAATGCTTTGCCAAATCATCAGTTTCATGTCATAAACATAGTAGATGTGATATTGGTATCTTCATCATGATATCCGGAAGTAGGCCACATTTAAAGCTAGCGAAGTCTCGCTATGCGAGATCTCACGAGGCAAATTACCCATAAACCCTTCTTCATCATGGCCTCAATGTAGTTAGACACGTGAGCCGGCCGTTCCGGTTATGATCGTTTTCATTTGCATAGATTGATATGAATAACAATTCTTCCATCAAAGGGTCCATACAGGACCCAGATGGTATATCTAAGCAGAAAAATGTGCCCGCAGAGGCGCATAAATCTGCTGCTGATGATATGTCGAAAAACCACGTGGATGGTTTTGACAAGCCCCATCACCCCCAACCATCGGGGTCGGGCAACAAGCGAGACTTGGGGTCGGATAGCCACTCAAAACAGCACAAACGTGCTCGAATATACGCACGTGTGGCTTCTGCTACTGAATTTGAGTCAGATTCAGAATCTTCCCTCTCGAGCAATGAAAGCTCAGACGAATCATACATTGAGCTTGCTACGAATCAACGCGGGGATAAGGGGTTCGTTCCGTCTAAACCGGTGGCTAATAAGACAGGAACAAAAGAGGCTTTCGATGATTACGTCCCCTTCTCATTAGCTGACGCTAAAGACCCATCAGAATGGTGTCTCCCGCATCATATCTCACGACAGACTCAGAGAAATGTCTCTGTCTTCTGCAAGGATTCCAAACTGGAGGTAAATATTCTAGAGGATCTCCCTGTCCCTTCAGAGGAATGTCTACAGACACCTTCTCTGGATCCATATCTAAACGACCTCTTTGACCAATCCCTTCAATTTATTCAAAAGCGGATTCTGAATTCCATGGGGCCACTATGTCACCTGTGGCATAATCTTGATAAGATCCGCAGATGTGAATTCCCTGCCCATTTAGATATTTTTGAGCTGTTGGAATTGGTAGAGAAAACTACCTGTCTTATCGGTCAGGCCAATGTCTCCATGAATTACAACAGAAGGCTAAACATTCTGGCTAAACTTTTTAAGGATGTCAAGAAGGCTAAATGCCTCATTCTCAAGCATGACACAGCTTTGTCAGAGGATAAGGGCTGACTCTTTGGGGATGCCTTTTATGACATCATGCTGAAGGAGGTCAAACGTAAGACTAAAGCCAAATTGATATTTGATGCTGAGAGACGTTTAGCTCGCAGACCTACTTTCAGACACCAAGGGCCCAGTCACCCTGATAGACAGTCCTTTCAGAGAATGCCTTCTCAGGAGGAAGACAATGTTGTGGGGGCACATTCCACATCAAGCCCTCCTTCAACAGAGGTTTCAGAGGCAACTCTTTCAGAGGCAGAGGAAGAGCCGGTCAGCCCGGTCAGAATCGCAGACTCTCATATACCAGGTGGGTCAAATGTCATCAACGCCTGTTCCCACAATGCTCCTCCTTCCTCAGTGCTACATCTACAGGTTATCCCAGCTATTCTAAAGCTAAACCTGGATCTTTTGTTCCACAAGGAAAGCCTTATAGGGGGTCGTCTGGAATACTATTTAAAAACTGGCAAAAGATCACGTTAGATCCATGGATACTTCAGACAGTTTCGGGTTTCGAGGTTGTCAAAACCTATTCAGAATCGTGTGTTAAAACCAAAACTAAAGCTCACAAGACAGATAGCCTTGAGCCAGGAGATCCAATCAATGCTTTGCAAACATGTGATAGAGGTTGTTCCCCAATCTGCTTCGATGGACTCTGATCAGTCCTATGTTCATGGTTCCCAAGAAGGATGGGGGGTCAGAGGCCAATCATAAATCTCAAGGCCCTGAATGCTCACATTCCTTACAAACACTTCAAGTTGGAAGGACTACACCTTCTAAGGGACTTGATCCGCAAAGGGGACTACCTTTGCAAGTTGGATCTAAAGGATGCTTATTTCAGCATCCCAATGGCACCCCACATGAAAAAGCTACTCCGCTTCTCTTGGAAGGGTGTTCTGTATCAGTTCCGATGCATGCCATTTGGACTTGCCCCAGCTCCAAGAGCATTCACATTCCAGTGGTAAGTTTGGCACGGCGAGCAGGCATCCGCTTGATTATATACCTGGACGATATCTTGTGTATAGCGGAATCGCCGACCCTGCTGAGTCAACACAGGGACACCCTCCTCTTTCTCCTCCAGTCCCTAGGCTTTGTCATAAACTGGAAGAAATCAGTTCTGTCACCAACCCAGTCGATCACGTTCCTGGGGTTTCAGATAGACACGGTGGATCGTACTTTGATCTTACCAGAGGAGAAGGTAGAGAACATCGTAGCAACCTGTCGTCACATGATGAGAAGAAACGGGTAAGGATTCGACAACTGGCAAGTTTGATAGGAAAACTGTCAGCTTCAATGAGAGCAATCTTACCAGCTCAACTGCATTGTCGTGACCTGCAGATGCATTCGAGCAGGGAGCTTTTGCGTTCCCAGAGTTACGAGTCAATGATTACTCTGGCTTCGGTGTGTGTGGAGGAATTGAAGTGGTGGATGACCAACCTCACCAATTTCAACGGCAAGCCAATCATGACAGCTCATCCAGATGTAATTCTCCAGACGGATGCAACAAAAAAGGGATGGGGAGCAATATGCGGCCAGAGATCAACAGGAGGCCGCTGGTCAGAGATAGAGCAGAGCATGCACATAAATGTTCTAGAGCTGAAGGCAATTTATCTGGCACTCTTGACCTTTTGCAAGGGGATCAAAGATCAATCCATTATGGTCCAAGTCGACAATCAGACAGCCATGGCTTATGTGAACCGATTTGGGGCGAAATCAGTCAGTCTGCTGCAGGTCACAAAGCAGATATGGGGTTTCTGTCTCCAGAACCGTATGTTCTCAACAGCCGTCTATCTGCCAGGAGTAGAGAACATTCATGCGGACTGGGAGTCTCGCCACTTCAACGACTCGAGCGACTGGATGCTCAATCCAAACATCTTTGCTCAATGCAACCAGATTCTGGGCCCCTTCTCAATGGACCTTTTTGCATCGAGATTCACTTTCCAAATGAAGCTGTTCTGCAGCTGGAGGCCAGACCCCCTTGCACAATCAACAGGTGCGTTTCTAGCTAATTGGAACCAGGGGATTCCTTGTGCCTTTCCCCCGTTCCCACTGGTAGGCAGGTGTCTGTGGAAAATCCGAAAGGACAAAACTCCAGTGTGGCAAGGTCAGTCCTGGTATCCACTCCTCTTGGAGATGGCGGTCACACAACCAATCCTCCCCCCACAGATGAGGGATCTGTTAAACTCCCCACAAAACCTGCCTCATCCACTGATAGAAAACAACACTTTGGTGTTAGCGGCATGGAAGGCTTCCGGCGTAGCATCAAGACCAGAGGAATTTCAGAGGCGACTACACAGCTGCTCTTCTGCCAATGGCGACCTGGCACACAAGGCGCTTACAATGCTTCCTGGAATAGGTGGACTGGGTGGTGCAATCAACGGGGTTTTGATCCCTTTTCAACCTCTGCAGAGTCTATCTTAGACTTTCTCACTCACTTGTACCACGAGAATGATCAGTACAGGACCATAAATACAGCTAGATCTGCTTTGTCTGCTTTTCACCCCACTATCGAGGGCTATAATGTGGGTCGGCACCCACTGGTCAGGAAATTAATGTCAGGGACTTTTAATCAGAATCCTCCTCAACCCAGATACTCCGTGGCCTGGGATGTTATTTTTGGTGCTGCAATATTTGAAAAAATTGAAAGATAATACTTATTTGTCGGTCAAAAAGTTATCTTAGAAGTTGACAATGCTGCTGATGCTAACCTCTGCTAGCAGGTCTTCAGAGTTATCTTCCCTGGATATCAGACACGTGGTAGACAGCGGCACTGAAGTAGAATTTACTCTGATTAAACCAACCAAGCTGACTAAGATAGGAACAAAACCTCATCCCTTGAGTTTCAGTGCCTATGGGAAGGACCCCGGTGCCTTAGAGTATACTTAGAACGCACAGAACCTTGGAGAGATGAATGTAGGTCTGGCCTTCTCTTGAGCTATGTGAAACTGCATAAACCGGTTTCATCCCCAAGTATTGCAAGATGGGTGACAAACCTTATGAGCGAGGCTGGTATTGACACTTCACACTACAAAGCTCATTCTCTCAGAGGAGCTAGTGCTTCAAAGGCATTTGCCAAAGGTGCTTCTGTCACAGACATTTTGAAGTTGGAAAACTGGACCAAGGCCTCTACGTTCAGAACCTTCTATCTGAGAAATACAATCAGCAGTGACCTCTGCTTGTCAAAGATACTTGACACTAACAGGCTTTGAACTAGTGATATTGTGAAATTGTAAAGTGAAATTATAATTTCATTAGTAAACATAGTAGATGTAATATTCCCTACCCTATTCCCTACCCTACTCCCACCCTGAATTGCCAAGATTGTTTTGCATGTCTCAGAATTATTGCATTGCTAAGATTGAGCTTCATTCCAGGAACTTTATTGAATTTATGTCAATCTTAATGGATTTTAACATATTACAGTTTTGGATTGATCTAAGTGATTCAACCAAGTCATAGTTGATAAGGCTTTGCTCTTTGCTTGCAGTTGAGTGCTGTGGGTCTGGACCAGAGTGGAGCTGGCCAGGAAGAGGAGGTCGCTCCACTGGATGACTTGTGTGGCCACTGACCCTATCTAGGGTTTTTTAGTTGGAAGTTTCGAATTCGCGCTCAATAGATCATCTGCATGATCTGATTAAATGTTTTTCCTTTACTCTGTGTTCTTTTCTAATTTCGGCCCTTATGAAGAAGAGTTTATTGGTAATTTGCCTCGCGAGATCTCGCATAGCGAGACTTTGCTAGCTTTAAATATGTCATGCTTCCGGATATCATGATGAAGATACCAATATCACATCTACTATGTTTACTAATGAAATTATAATTTCATTTTACACACTACGTAGCTTCAGACGAACGTTATCTTCCAGATTAAGAACAGGCAAGCCTTAGACCTTTCGACAAACGTCATTTTACACACTGTAGACAGATGAGATTCAGATTCAGGAAACTCCTGAATGGCTCCATTTGTAACAGTGCATTTCAGTTCTTTTCACAAGAGCTACAGAACAAAATATGTCATACAGATTATCTATCTTCTCCATTACTCTCATCTAAGCAGGGGATAGACATTCGTTATGTTACAGACTGAAGCCATAAGCTATATTAGACACGCGTTTTGTTGCAAACTTAAAACCTTGAGCTCCAAAGGTTATCTCCACTGCCATATATGTTTATATTCATGTCATGCATTTATAAATAAACGGAAGTGGTACTTGCTATTACAATATATCAGAAGTTCTCCATCTGAGTGAGTGAGTTAGTGAGTTATTTGTTAACGTCACATCAGCAATATTTCAGCCATATCGTGACGAGAACATTTGACATTGAAATATAATATATATATAGATATTATAAAAACCTGCCGACGAAGGACAGTAAAAATACTAGATAATCACAGATATCAATATAAAACTAGCGAACAAAGCTAAAATATTCCAATTAAAGAAGACAATACAATGTAAAAAATGGGCTATAGATCGCCAACAACTGAAGGTAGATCACCATACTAAGGCCCATGGGGACTTACATTACTTTTGCTACCTGCATGGACCCTAGCTGGATTTACACCATCCCTTCAGCCATTGGCGTTTATACTGAGATTTAGCCAGACATTAAAATGACAAACATACTACGATTAAAAACCTGGTAGACTGAAATTTACTTGAAATGATTTGGGACTTACGTACCCTCTCAGGAGGACAATAATTTTACGGTACTTTAACCCCCTTTGAGGGCACAGCCACTAACAATCTAAGTTAACAATCTAAACTACCAATCATTAAAATACATCTACTTACAGAGCATATTAATCAAAAATCAGTAATCAAATCAATTTCTTTTAAAAAACCAAGAATTAAATGAACATGAACAGTGTTAAAAAGATCCTTAACAGTTTTAACATTAAAATATTTATCCCTTATGATGGAGAATTCGACACAGTCAAGCAGGAGATGCTTGACTGTGACTCTCTCATCACAAGGGATACAAAACGGAGGATCTTCACCTTTCAACAAGTAGTTGTGAGTATACCTTGTATGGCCAATGCGACATCGTCGCATAATGACCTCTTCAAATCTGGACTGACAACCCAAGTGAGTGTAACCAATATAAGGTTTTATTTCATGTAGTTTATTAATACCTACTTGGGTGTCCCACTTCTTCTGCATCAGATCACGGATGTAAGTTCTAATGCAAGCTTTGTAATCAGAGTAAGGAATAAGAAGTGGTGTCACAGATTTGTTGAGTGCTGCCTTAGCAGCAATATCAGCCATTGTGTTCCCAGAAATGCCAACGTGGCTGGGTAACCAACAAAAGACGATGTCGCATTGGCCAGTAGCAAGCTCATTATACAATTCAATAATTTCTAATAAAAGTGGATGTTTACAAGAAAGATTTTTAATAGCCTGAAGACAAGAAAGAGAGTCAGAAAATATTATATATTGTTTATGTTTGGGATGTCGTTGAATATATTTAAGAGCCGTTAATATGGCGTTTGCTTCTGCTGTAAAAATGGAGCTGTTATCTGGTATTCTAGAAGATATTGTTCTGGATCCAATGACCGTGGCACATGACACTGCGCCACCGTCCTTGGACCTATCTGTAAATAAGGATTTGTGTGTGTTATATTTAGTTTTTAGTTGATTATATTGTAATTCATTAGTTTCCGGTTTCTTAAACTTTGTCAAAGTTAGGTCAACTTCAGGCCTAACCAGTTGCCAAGGAGGAGAAGAAAGAAGACGGGGAGGAGCTATATTTCCCAGCTGAATGCCGGCAGCGGACAGGAATGGCTTAATTCTGTGCCCAAGAGGCGGAACAAGAGAAGGTTTTTTGTTGTATAAATCCTCATAGAGGGGATGAAAGACACAGTTATATGCAGGGTTAGACTCATTAGAATATAGTTTAGTAATATATTGTAAAGATAATTTTATACGGCGTTGTGCAAGAGATGGCTCATCTGCCTCAACGTAGAGACTGTCAACAGGAGAAGTTCGAAAGGACCCAAGACAAAGTCTCAGGCCTTGGTGGTGGACAGAATCTAAAAGTTGTAGGTTGCTTCTGCAGGTTCCACCATATACGATGGAGCCATAATCAAGTTTGGAACGGACCAATGATCGATACAGATGTAAGAGGGTAGCTTGATCCCCCTCCCCACTTAGAATTTGAAACGACTTTCATCAAGTCAAGTGCCTTTAGGCATTTATTTTTAAGGGCTTTAATATGTGGTAGAAACGTTAAGTGTGAGTCAAAAATAATACCCAAGAACTTGGCCTCCTTCACAACTTTGATGGGAGTGCCATTTAGAGATAGTTCCGGGGTCTTTATGCGGTTTGTATTTACGGCAGAAATGTATACAATTAGTTTTGGATTTAGAAAATTTAAAGCCATTTTCCAGACACCATTTATCTATCTTGTTTAAGCACAACTGCAGTTGTCGTTCAATAGTATGCATATTCTTACCGCGACAAGAAATATTAAAATCATCCACAAAAAGTGATCCATCTATTGAATCATTTAAAACCTTGGATAAACTGTTTATCTTAATGCTAAACAGTGTGACAGACAAAATACTGCCTTGAGGGACACCCTGATCCTGATTATAATGGTCAGACAGGGTAGAACCCACTCGGACTTGAAATTGTCTGTCATGTAAAAAGTTGGATATAAATTGAGGCAAACGGCCTCGTAATCCAAAATCATGTAAATCTCTTAAGATACCATGTTTCCACGTAGTATCGTATGCTTTTTCTAGATCGAAAAAGATCGACACTGCATGTTGTTTATTAATTATGGCATTTTTCACAAAAGATTCCAAACGCACTAAATGATCAATTGTACTTCTGTTTTTACGGAAACCACACTGTATATCAGTTATTAAGTTGTTGGTTTCCAAGTACCAAACTAATCGATTATTGATCATGCGTTCCATGGTTTTGCAAACGCAGCTAGTGAGTGAAATTGGTCGATAATTAGAAGGATCTGTATGATCACGTCCAGGTTTTGGAATTGGAACAATTATTGCATCACTCCATGAAGACGGAAATCCACCAGACGTCCAAATACTATCAAAGATATGTAAAAGTGTCTCTAAACAGGATTCTGGTAAGTGCTTCAGGAGTTGATAATGTATGTTATCAGCTCCTGCAGCGGTATCGTGAGCTTGGTCAAGAGCTTTATGAAGCTCATGAATAGAAAATAATTCATTATAGTCTTCCCAATTATCCGTGTTGAAATTAATAGGTTTCTTTTCTTGTTGCTGTTGATAGTTTTGAAATTTGGGTACATAGTTAGAGGAGGAAGAGTGCTTAGCCAAAGTTTCACCTAGTTTATTTGCAATATCTGAAGTATCTGTTAATAATTCATTTCCATTTTTAAGATGGCGGATGCCAGTTTTAGAGCCTTTACCTTTGATTTTGTGTACCATA